TCCTTACTGTTACTCACACAAGACACTCCTTCTCCCAACCCCGAGTGTTTCCATTGGCTGTCCCCTCACGCCTGGGATGTGCTCCCTCCTCATCGCTGCCTCCTAGCTCCCTGACTTCCATTAAGTCAGCCTTCTTGGCTGCTCACATCTTTTACAGAATCCTTTCCTGGTCCCTCTTAAATACTAGTGGCTTCCCTCTGTTGATTGTTTCCAATTTATCCTGTATATGCCTTATTTGTACTTAGTTGTTAACATCCTATCGTCTCCACCAGACTGAGCTCCTTGAGAGCAGGGACTGTTTTTGTTTTTGCTTTTCTTTGTAGCCACAGTGTTTAGCACAGTGCCTGGCACATAGCTAACACTTAATAAATGTTAGTCGAGTGATTCCCCATCTTTCATTTTTTTTCCAACTAAAGAAAAAATAACATTAAGATTCCCAGGTATAATAGATGTGCTAAGCAATTGAACAACTAGTATTCACTAAGCATCAATTAAGTGTCTAGCTACCACGACACTTGGCACATACAAAGAAGTTCAGTAAAGAAGGAGCTATTTACTGGATGGTGCCAGGAACCACACCCCATTATCCAAAACAGAGCTGAGAACCAGGAATTCAATCCAATGCAATTCAATAAGCATTTCTGTAGCTACTACTTGAAAGAGCATGTGAATATAAATACAAAAAGGAGAAATAATGCCTCCCCTCGAATAGAATGCATTGTATTGAGGGGAAATTAGGGAAGAAGAAAAAAGGCTCTCACCAGCTATGATAGAAGTCATAAGGTCAGTGCACTAAGCCTCAGATCTTATACTTGGATAACGGGTCCTCACTCAAAATCTGTTACTTTGTTTTTAGGCCCAATCCTATTGCCCTCCTCTGGTTTTCCAGACTAGCAGACGAGAAAGAGCAGAGTGGAAAGGACTGAGGGGAAAACTTGCATATACCCTTATAGGAGCAAGTCATGGTAGCTGCCAGCCTGGCTGTGAGAAGGAAGAAAGAATACATGAATCACAGCATTCAGCCATTCCAGTACAGGGCAAAAGAGCCAGACACATCTGAAATGACTGCCTTATCAGACAAAATGATTGAAATTCACAATGCCAATCTTGAGGAGATAAACTGAAGGAAAAGGAAAATCATATTCCACGCACCCTATCCAAGATGACGGGGAAGTGCATTTTAGAAAGATTTCTATCAAAAGTGGCTATTTCTTAAAAGGTTTTGATACTCAGTTATCTAGAAAACTATCTCCTTCCTTGATATGTTAGATAATTTGGATGCCACCATCACTTATCGTGTCTAGGCCTCAGTTTCCTCATCTGTAAAAAGAAAGTGTTGGATCAGATGACCTGTAATGTTCATTTCAGCTCTAAATCTATGCTCCCATGATCCTAAGATGAACATCCATACCTATATAAAGTTTATGATGTAAAAAGAAAGGCAAAAATTAACTTGTGTAAGTCAATTAGGGAGCAATTAAGTGCTATAGTGTAGAAATATAAAATATTATTTGTCAGTGATTTCTTATCTGTAAAATATTAATTTAATTCATTTTCAGAAAACTATGTCCTAGTATACACTTTGGATTAAATGTATCTCATTAGTCTTGTTTTGCTTTTACTAACGGAATAACTACAGAATCTACAGTGACAACTAGATAGCATTCCAGATTCTCACTTGAATTCATTCCCTTTCCACTTCCTTCCTTACCTACATTTTACAAGTGTGCTATCTCATGAACTAACTGGCAGATTTGGTTTTACCCAAGGTTTAAGGCGGGGGAAGAGATAAAGCCATCTCATTGCTTTTTTTTTTTGATAGTCTGAGTCCATCTTGTCTGTCAAGTTCAGTGGCTCCCAATAATCTTCAGATAGTATATTCATTTACCCTTTCCTCTTCTTGTATAGATTGTGCCAAGTTGGGGTAGTTGGGGTAGTTGAGGCACAGGCGGAAAGGTAGGCCAAGTGTTGGAAAAGGCAAGAAATTCTTATCTAAAGCATCCTGATTACTGACATGAGTGCCCTATCACGTATATTATCCGGCCACCTATATAACCTCTAGTCATGTTTTCTGGTCAAGCATGCCCACACAAATGTGTGCCTTCCCTATTGCTGGTGTGGAACCTACTTAAATTGTATCCTATCTGTACAAGGGGAGAGAAATCTTTTTGCTTTGAAATAATATCTTCTAACCTAGTAAAAGCACGTACATCGGTGGAGACTTGTGAGCTATGTGTTTGACTGAGTACAGATCCACAGAGTGTTTTGAACCAGAAATAACTTTACGAGGATGGGAGGGACACAGGATGAGCAAATTCAACAGTTGAAATTGTAACGGATCCAGTCAAAGTGATTTCAGGATTCACCTAGAAATAGTCAGCAACTTGAAGACTGGAGTGGAAGAATAAAATGGTAGCCATTACCTCAGTTTGAGAATGTAAAAGTCAGCAGAAAGTCAATGGGACAAGGGATTCATGGGTTAAGGAGAGAACATTATTGACATGACCGACAGTAGGATCTAGACTAGATATGGAGAAAAATGAGGTTGCAATAATGTTGAGGAAGGAAATGATAAAGAAGCCTGCGAGTCAATGCCATATTTATAAAAGAAAAGGGGAAAATCATCAGAAGTTTGATTGGTGAGAAGAATAATGGTTTAAAGAGAATGTAATAGTCAATGTGAACTTCAAAGGAGAGACCGCTAAATGATGATGGCAAAGTAAAAGTGTAGAAGTGTCAGAGAGGAGCAAGGAATATGTTGACTCCATCTCCAGGCCTTGTGAGACAGGCAAGCGAGGTAAGGAGAGGCAATCATTAGAGAAGATAGCTGGAGGTACAGGGTCCTCAGAGGAACACCAAGCTTCAGCTAATGCAAAGAAAGGAATTAAGTGTAGAAAAGAGAGGTTCAGAATGAAGGGATGTTTGTTAAAAGTGGAAATGGAACTTCCAAAGTATACAGGGGAAGGGCTGGACAGGAAAGCTATGGAATGATGGGGAGGGAGCTAAAAGAATAGGAATGAGAATATAGGGAAAGGAAGCAGTAGAGCGGGACAGAGCACAGTACTGATGGATGAAAAGGCTTTGGTGACAAAAATGAAATGAAGTAAGGTAGAAGGACGTGTTAGCCATAAGGGAAAGAAAAGGACTGATTAGGCAGAGATAGTGAATAGAGAAGGTTATGCAGTTAATCAGCCCCGGTGTTCCACTTAGAATGTTAGTGTGACGAGATTTCTTAGTCTCTTCCTTCAGATATAAAAAATCAAAAAAGCATTTAGAGTATTCATGTTGCAAACCCAGACCTATAAAAAGACGGAGAATGGTATCTGAATAATATGGAGTTGGGAACAACCCTTGCCATCATTAAGATGAAAAGAAATGATAGCTAAAAACATAACAAATACCCACTGGTGATTTTTAAAGTCAGGAATGTGAGAAGCAAAATTTAAAAAAAAAAACCCTCAGTTTAAAAGTAGGTTTATGCTGTCTGAATCAGCGAGCTTCACTAATGATCAAGATGTCCTCCTGGTTAACGAGGTATTTCTTAATTGTCAGTAAAACCCTCTTATAACAGAGTTTGACAAGGGCACACCTACAAGGATGATCTGCCTTGCTAATGTGAATCCATGCACGCTGCAGGAAATATGAACCACAAAATGGAATCGTTAAGTTTATGAATAGAAGAATCTTGCTGTCTCATCATGACAGCTTCTCACTGCCAATGACACTTAGGTAGAAATCGTTTCTTCTGGTCAAGTTTTGACTCACACTAAGCCATACGTATGTTTATCCCATACATTGATGCTGCCATCTCAACACTCTACATACAGTTGCTTGGACTCATTTTCTCAAATTCTACTTTCAAATACTTGAAATATCAAGATAATTTCCCAGGACTTTTCTCCTAAGTCATAAATAGGTTGTCATCCATATGAGGGGAGGGAATTCCCACACAGAACATTCCTTATACCAAGGAAATCACAAATCTTTAGTTTTATGTTGTATACAAATTTTAATGGGGTCGCTCATATTTTCAATAACCTTCAGTGACTCTTATCATCTCTTATCACACCAGATCTAGGATAAAGAAATCATGATTATGGTTTTAATTTCAAGGATGTACACGTGCTATCCAATTTAAATACTAAAGTTTTGCCTGAAGAAAAAGTGAATTCTAAATTAGATTGTCTGAAAAACGGAATCCTAAGTTTTTGAAGTTAGGAGCTACTTAAAATCCCAATATGGGGAATGAAGTTACTGGAGGGGAAGTGTAAGTCTAGGATGGGACATGGCAGGAAGCCTCAAGGGTTATGGAGGGCAAAGGACATATCGGTAGACACTGCATTTCAAGCTCAGCAACTTCCAACTATACCTTCCTCCCTAGCCCCCTACCCCCCCACCCCATTCCTACTCCCCACACTCATTAAAAATGCCTGCTGTAAAGCAGGAAGGGATTTGTCAGCAGCCTCTGGACATGTCTCCTCTACTTAATTTGCATACATTTGAAATGCTAACCATCCTTAGGTTTCACCAAGCCAGGCAATCCTGATGTCCTGTAGTGACTTCCAGCCTAACTTACCTTCCTGTGACTCACTAGCATTCCATATATCCTTTGCCCTCAAGGAGAATGATAGAGCCTGAAGCTACAACTACAGGACTGGTATGGTGAGGGCCCAAGATTCAATCTGCTGGGGACTTCTAATCTAAAAGTTGGCCATTGAGGAAAGGAAATTTTCCCGTTTATCAGCAACAAAATAGAAAAGTTAAAACACAAGGACAGAATTGGATACCTCTATTTCCGTCTTAAGTATTTTTTGCACAGATGGATGACATAACAAATTCATAACTTTTTGAGGTAGTTAATAAAATTATCATCAAAAATAAATAATCTTCAGACAACTCAACCTATTAATTAAGAGGTTAATTAAAGATGAGAAAAGAAACAAAAAGTCAAAAGAGCACAAGTCTTGAAATTGAAAATGACAAGCTTAAAAATCTCCTACCCTCTTTTGCTTATCCCTGTCGAACTCAGGTCAAGATAGTGAAGTTGGTGGCAGCCTCTTGCCAAAGCTTGGATCCCCATGTCAGTGACCTTTTTACATCCACTCACATCAAGAAATCTGTAGATTTAAGATGAATAGATTTATTCTGCAGAATCTCAAGCACAGTTCTAGTCACTTTCCCAGCACTTAGGACAAGAGATGGGATCTTTAAAAAAAAACAGTGTAACTACAGACTGTGCCAATCAATAATAATAGCTGTCATTTATGTGGCACTTCAAGTTTGAAAAGCAATGTACAAATACTATCTTGCTGAATTCTCAACAATAACACTGTGAGGTAAAGACTATTATTATTCCCATTTTGCAAGTGGGGAAAAGGCGAAATGAATTTGTCTATTCTCACACAACTAGGAAACTCAGGAGGCAAGATTCAGACCCAGGTGTTTCCAGATTCCATGTCCTGTGCTCTTTGCACTATGCTAGGCTGCCTCTCCAAACCAACCAACGACCCACGGAAATGGAATGCAGTGGTGGAAAGAGAAAGCATGCCAAAGCAATTAAAAGAATTTTTCATAATTCAAAACATCCTCTCCTTAGATGATAACAAATTGTCCTTTGCTCACCCCCGTTTCATTTGGCTAAGTCTAGAATCTATGTAAAATTCCATAATTGCTAAGATTCTAAATAAGCTCATCCCTTCCTGGCTTTGCACTCAATTTTCTGGTCATGAGAGGTTAGTGTGTGGGAGTTTGAAGGAAAAAAAAAAGAAGGCATTAAGAAAAACCATAAATAAACATGAGTTCAGTGAGTGGAGCATAAAAGAAGGCCAAATTGTTCTACTGTGACTTCCTTTGAACCACTGATATGTAGTTCATAAAAAACATATGGGAAATGCCTGAAGAGTTTTTGAAGTAAAATCTACATGAAAAATCATTGCATACATTTATAGATGCAAAAATAGCACTAGTTTCTGCCATCTCTTCAACAGATAGATGCTGAAGGATTCATTTCCAAGCACACACAACGGTACACACATACATGCACACAGATCATCCCCTTTGTACAGTTCCTCTTTAGTCTTTGGCCCGGTTTTCCAATGAAGTCAGTTATCAACCCTTTACTAATTCTTCAGACTGGGTGAAAAACTTGAAAAGCTTTCGAAAAGCTATACTTTGGGAGGATGCCAACCAAACAGCCAATCAAATATTAGGGGCAGCTAGGTGGCACAGTGGATAGAGTGCTGGGCCTGGGGTCAAGTTCAAATCCATCCTCAGACACTTCCTAGCTGTGTGACCCTAAGTAAGTCACTTAACCTGCTTGCTTCAGTTTCCTCATTTGTAAAATAACAATAATAATGGCACCTACTTCCCATGGTTGTTGTGAGTGAGGATTAAATGAGATAATAATTGTAAAGTGCTTACACAGTCTCTGGCACATAGCAAATGCTATATAAATGTAAGCATTATTATTATTACTATTATATTATACTATTATATCATGGGTTCTTAACCTGATAATCCATAAACTTGTGGATATTTTGAGTTGTATTAGTCCTTAAAGGTCCTTTTGGTCTCTAAATAAATGACCTTGCAGTGTATGCTACTTGAATGTCTATTTTGCATTCAAGGCAGTGTACAGAAGTGAATAGAATGATGGGCTTTTAGTCAAGAACACCTGGGTCCAGATTCCACCCCTGACACTTCCTAGCTGGATGACTCCTGGGCATGTCATTTAATCTCTATGTTCCTCAATTTTAGAGAACATAGGGATTTGCTATTGGTGGAACAAGTTCCCATACTACAAAACCTTTAAGTATTATGTATTCAAGGTAGTACAATTTTTGTGAACACCACACAAGCACTGATGAAATTACATTGAAAGAATATTTTGGGGGGGTCCTGTAAAATCTCATTCAGCTTAATTCAATTCAGCAAACATTAAGAAACAATGCAAGACACAAAGCTAGGCACTATGGTTACAAATACAAAAATATTATAGTTCCTCCCCTCAAAGAGCTTATAGTCTACAAGCAGAAAAAAAAAACCAACTTGAATTTATTCCTTTGGCTGAATTTGGTGGGGTAACTTGTGAGTGAGAGCAGTTTTTACCTGCAACATTCTAATTCTGCCTGGGGGTTCTAGTTTGGATGCTCACACAGTAAGTGGTACCTGATTGTTCGCAGGTAGGTACCAATTTCCAGCAAGCTTATATCTGTAACCCAAGAGCAGGAACTAAGGACCAAGCAGTCCAGATTCAGGCATTGTGTCACAATGAGGTGGACAATTCGATCTCTCACCTACCAAAAGAAGAAAAACAAAGGTTTCCTTTCAGGTGTTAGACTTTCCCCACAAGAAGCATGTGCCAACAAAATAACATTCCTCATTCAGGGGAGAAATGGAAAGTGAGGGGGCTAGAACAGGAATTTGTTCAGACACTTGATATAAGATATTAGCATATCAGGATCAATCTGAAGCCATTACATGCAAACCAGTAAAAGATAGCCTTTTAATAAAGCTAGGAGTGAAAGGGACCTTGATAGGTTGGTGATATCAAAAATTAGCTGGCTGCAGGAACTTATTCATATGGCTCTTGCATAATTTAAGAGGGTGATAATTTGCAAATAGCTCTCAAGTGGCTTGCATTATTTTTTAAATGGTGAAGTACCCCCAAAAAAATCAAGGTTTGTCTAATCAAAAATTTGACCACCTGAAGAGAGTAAAATTTTAACATGTATCTTCAATCAGAACTGATTTCACTATATATTTTAACCACCTTAGTTCTGCAAACACCTGAAAGGAACAGAGTGAGCAACTTTGTGTCGTTTTCATTATGAAACCATTTTAGGGACTATTTAATGCTTTCTTCATGGTAAAGTTAAATTGGTTTCCCTATTGCCTACTACTCTTCATCATCAATATAATCAAAAGCATTTATTAAGCACCTATGAGCACTTCAGGGTTCATTAAACCCTGTGTGTACTGGGAGAAGAAAGTGTGGTATAGCACGATGGTGTCACTAATCTATACATAAGGATCCCTGCTGGCAGCATAATGACTTAGTTTTTAAATGTAATGTTATCTATATTTTATTGTATTTTTATTTATTTTATTAAATATTTCCTGCTTACAGTGTGTTTGATGCCTCTGGTAAAGTGCACTTGGAGTCTGGAGACATGGCTTTGAATAATGGTCCTTGTATAACCTTTGAAGACTTATTTCATCTCTTTGGGAAAAGAGCTGGAAAGAACCTGGGAAGCTTGCTGAGTCTAACCCCCTCATTTTTATAGACAGAAAAACTAAGGCACAAAAAGGTTAGGTGATCTGCCCAATGTGACACAGCTAGTAAAAGTCTGAGGCAGGATCTGAACCCAGTTCTTCCTTACTCCGAGTCCCAATATCTATTTGTAAAAGGCAGAGATCTGACTAGATGATGGCTAAGACCCATTTCAGCTCAAAATTCACTGTGCTTAGACCCAATTCTTTTGCTCTTGGGGCTTACCATATAACAGGATCTCAGAAGTCCTATTCAACTGTTCAAATACAGGCAAACATAAGAGCATCAACTTAGAACTGGAAGGAATTTTCAGTGTCATGTAGTCTAACCTCTTCGTTTTACAAATGAGGAAAGTGAAACCCAAAAAAGGAAAGGGATTTGTCCAAGATCTCTCAGTTTATAATCTGGAGAGCTGAGATTCAAACTAGGCCCTCTGGTTAGAGATCCGATGCACTTTCAACTTGCTGGGCAACTAAACACTCCAACTACGCCATTTCTTAGGGAAGAGACACAGGAAGTCTTCTAGCACCTCTCTTACTAGCATGTTCATGTTTGATCTGGTCAGTCAGGAAGACAGGAATGGAGTCATAATAAGGGGTTAAATAAGCTTACTTTAGTCTAGTCTTCTCAAAGGGAGTTTGCTGATAATGGGAGCCCCTACTCCTACAGCATTCTCTAACAACCCTTCTTGCAGGGGCCGGTGTGAAGGGTGTGGGCAATAACCCCTCCATCTTAATGGGGTCAATCGAGACAAGCACAACTTGTGCATTCCCCTAAACCCCCTCAAGCCTCAATGGGGCCCCCCTCCCAAGCCTTGATGGGGGCTGATCAAGGCATGAACAGCATTCCAGTTTGTTCATTCACCCCTAAGGGGATCCCTACTCACTGACCAGTGCCCACCTGCTTTATAGGGCAACAGACAAAGAAAGTATATTGCCAGCAATAGTCTCACAATAGTCTCACCCCTATATCCACTGTGACTGTGCAATAGAAACTATTTTGAATTATTATTGCGAGAATTCATATCTAACACCTAGGAAGTAGAGATTGTTATGGCTATGGATCTTGGGAAGAAAACTCTAAGAATAACAGAAAATCCACTTTATACACACTAAAATTTGCCTTCCTTACACAACTATACTACACTTCCTCCCTAGCACAGATCACCCTTTGATGGATCGGTAATTTTGTCCATGTGGATGCTCCCTCTATTGATGCGGATCACTGTCACGGAACAACAGAATCTCAGAGATCATAAGGTCCTACATTTGGAATTGGAAGGGACCTCTCTGATCATCTATGTTGGTACATCAGCCGCCATGACCCTCACGGTGGTCTTCTTACTCATCTAATCATGAGCCCTACAAAAGGAAATAATCACACATGCTATGACAACATGGAGCAAACACAGTCTTGGAAGCATTAAGAAATCACTTTATAAGATATCTTAAGTAGTGAAAAACACTTAAAGAATGGGAAAAAATCATGGATGACATTAATGTCCAAAAAAGGCAACCAAGAGAACATTAATAACTAATGATTATAAACTTACTTTCTCCTCTTTATAAAATATGAGAATAACCCACATCCATAATGAGCAACTCCCCAATGAAAGTAAGAGAAAGAGATAGGCAGGCTTTTGTAAAAATGCAAGTTATTATAGGCAGCAACCTACATTTAACTAGTTTAGCAAAACCTAACGTAACTAGTTTAGCTAGTTGCACATCAACAGAGTCAGATAGCATATCCACTTTTCCACACCCATGGTCTCATTTCACTCCAAAGAAGGAAGCAAGGAATATTTTCTCAACTCTTCTCCAGGGATGAACTTGGTCATTATAATTACACCACATTCAGATTTGTTTTGTTCCTTCCATTTACATTATTATAGTCATTATCTGTGATTTCATCTGTGTGGCTACTCCTCTAATGATGGGGTTTACGATCATGGCACTATGAAATCTTAGAAATCATAGAGTCATATATGTAGAATTGAAAGGAGGATCAGAGATTATCTAATCTAACACCCTGTTCCCAACACACACATACACACAATCTCATCTTGTACAGTTTTTATTTGTGTCTTTCTATAAAGTATGCATAGAGAAGCCACTAAAAGGGGAAGGCAGGAAGAGGAATAAGCATTTACTAATGCTAACTATGAGCCAAGCACTGTGCTAAATACTTTACAAATATCTTATTTGATCCTCACAACAACCCTGTGAGGTAGGTGCTATTATCATCCCCATTTTACAGTGATGTAAACTGAGGCATAAAGATATTAAGTGACTTGCTGGAGTCACACAGCTAGTAAATTTGAACTAAGATCTTCCTGACCCCAAGCCCAGTGTTCTATCCACCACTCCCTAGCTGCCTCTAAAACCACTAACAGTCTTCTTCTGATTCTTTTAATATATCCAAGAGTACCAATGTAGCCCATATTTCCACAGTGTAGCTGGCCCAGAAATTCTTCCCAACTTCATTTCTTCCTACATGGTTATTAGCACAGCAGGAAATGGGGTGTTAAGGTCCAAATGTGGTGTTTCTGTTGCTCATTAATAGCATGGATTATTACGGAAACATTGCCATATTTGTACCATGTTACGTCTATTTGTTGTTGCCCTGACTGCTTGATCCAAAGACGATTGGACTGGAATGTATATCTTTCCCTTGAGCTTACTGTCAAGTTTTCTTTTGACTTGATTTCATTCCCACTGATTTTTGATGTTTTAAAAGGTGATATTGCTCATAATCTCTCAAATAGTAATCAAGTGTTCATTAGTAAAGACAGTTTTGGGCTCTTTTGGCCTCTAAATTGTGGTATTGATGGGGTACGGGCCCAAGCTGAGCCCTTTGCCCCTCCCCCCAGAAAGAATTTGGGTCCCATTTATCTAGAAAACCCTAGGAAACCCTTGAACTGTCCTTGAATTCTCTTACTTGATCAAAGAAGTCTCTTGCCTTTGCCTGAGGCTATAGTCCTATCAACTGGCCTTTCACTATCCCATTGGTCCAATCTCCCAATTCTCTGTTACCCTTAACCTTAACAGATGGACCCCCCCCCCCCCCCCCGCCACTTCCCACCCTTGATCCTATCAGCCCCATTCTACCTCCCAGTCACTCCCATCAAGATCCTCCCTAGACCCCTCCTCCAGTCGCCCCAAACCACTTGGCCACTCCTAGATCCCTCCCACAGTCTTACTGTATATAAGGTCCATCTGGCCTCCATTAAGGTGCTCAGATTCTTTAAGAGTCTAGCCAAGGGCTCTGATTCTTAAAACCTGGCCTGCTTTCATTAGCAATACAAATGCTTAGATTCCTTAAGATTCTGGCCAATATGGCAGATTATTTAAATCTCATCGACCCTAATCAATCTTTTAATAAATGTTGTCTTTGGCTGAAAGAAGGCTTGGGTCGAATTCATTTGGGCATGACCCGCATGTCATGGTTTTGGGGTTCCAGCCCCCCTCAGCCCCTAAACCTTAACAGTATCTAACAATTGTTCAGTTTTTGCAGAAAATGGTGAAACTCAAGGTCAACATCTATTTTTTTTCTTTCTTTTCCACTTTTTGTAAGTTGGAGCTCTTTTAAAAGAGTCCAGTTAGTGTTGATGCACTCATTTTAACCTTCCATTTGATGTTCATTTCGACCTTTCCTCCTACTATTTGATGGTCTGACTGCATAGAGTGGATTATATGACTCACATATTAGTCATTTTATTTTTGGGGTGATGTTTAGTCTTACTATGTCCAGCAAATTCCGGCCATCTGCTAGAAAGAAAAAATATCTAACACTCGAGATTTTGAAACACTTGACATGTAAGAGGCAGGATGGCACAGGACTTAGAGTGAAAAAGATCTGGGATTGAATACCACTTAAGACACTAGCTCAGTTACTTTGGACAAGTCACTTGATCTTTCTTATCCTCAAGTTTTCTCATCTGTTAAATGGGAATAATGCCTGTAGCAACTTCCTCACAGGGTTGTTGAGAGTACCAAATGAAATAATAGATGCAAATCTCTTTTC